GTTTTATATGTTATTAGTTTGTTGTTTACTATTGTTACGTTTACAACTACTAAATTGGTGACCCCGCCCGAAGAACAATGAACGGAGAAAATATACTGATTGCACCACCTGCTGCATCTCAACAGGGAGTAGGACCAACCGTACCCACGGCAACAGCATCAGCGGTAAGCCTGAAATTACCACCATATTGGCCGAACGACCCGGCCCTTTGGTTCACGTAGGTCGAAGCGCAGTTTATCACTAGAAACATTACTGTTGATGCCACGAAATATGCCCATGTCGTTGGCTCTTTACAGCCGCAGATCGCAGCAGAGGTTAGAGATCTTCTAATGAACCCTCCTGCAGTGGGCGGATATGTCCAATTAAAGACTGAACTCATAAGGCGGACATCCGACTCTGAGCATAAACGTCTGAGTCAGCTGCTCACATCCGAGGAACTGGGGGATAGGAAGCCATCCCAATTGTTACGGAAAATGTACCAACTGTTAGGAGATCGAGAGTTGGAACAACAGGTAATGAAACAATTGTTTTTACAACGCTTGCCAACGAACGTGCAACTTATCTTGGCACCATCCAAAGATGATTTGGATGCAGCTGGCCTCGCAAAACTAGCTGATACGCTTATGGAAGTATCGACCCAACAGACTGTTGCAACAGTTCACCAACAGCCCTCCATAGACACTGGGTCATTACTTGCACAAATTAACCAACTCTCCCAGAATGTTAAATCCCTCCTATCTGACCGACAGCGGAATAGCCGAAGCCGAAACCGGCGTTCACCCAGCTCCGGCCGACGCACCCGTAGCCCCTCCCACATCAGGGCTAATACCAACCCACAGGTATGTTGGTACCATTTTAAATTTGGTGTACGGGCACGTCGCTGCAAGTCGCAATGCACATTCACACCACCGACGGAAAACGCCAACGCCAGCAGGTAGGGGCGACAACCTCGTCTGGCTTTCCCTTTCAAAGTCGTCTGTTTTATGTTACAGATCACCATTCCAAACGACGATTTTTAGTCGATACAGGCGCAGAAGTAAGCGTAATACCGCCACTGCAAACTGACCGTAAACATTTCAAAGGTAGCGATTTAAAAGCTGCAAATTCATCTATAATTTGCACTTATGGACATAGATCGCTAACAATAGATATTGGGCTACGCCGGACTTTCCAGTGGATTTTTATTATTGCTGATGTTACACATGCCATTATTGGCGCTGATTTTCTAAGTCATTTTAATCTTTTGCCAGATCTTCGTCACAGGCGTTTAATTGACAGGAATACTTCTTTAGCTGTTAATGGGATGTTTTCTTCTATGCCTGCACTTAGCCCGATCTATGCGTTACCAACCACAGCCTTATCTCCACGTTTCACGAATATTCTTTCGAAGTATCCCTCTATTGTCAAACCTCACCAAAAGGATACACCAATACACCATAGTGTCAGGCATCATATTGTAACAAACGGCCCACCCACTGTAGCTCGCCCTCGCCGATTACCACCTGATCGTTTAAAAATCGCCAAGGATGAGTTCCAGCACATGCTGGACCTCGGGATTATTAGACCCTCAGGAAGCAATTGGGCGTCGCCATTACACATGGTTCCCAAAAAAGAACCTGGTGACTGGCGTCCTTGTGGGGATTATAGGGCACTAAACCGTGTAACTGTCCCTGATCAGTATCCTGTACCTCACATTCAGGATTTTACTGCGAACCTTCATGGAACATCAGTGTTTTCCAAAATTGACTTAGTGAGAGCATACCACCAAATCCCAATGGCAGAAGAGGACATCTGTAAAACAGCCATCGCCACACCATTTGGATTATATGAATTTACGCGAATGCCATTTGGTTTGCGGAACGCCGCACAGACATTTCAAAGGTTTATCGACGAAGTTTGTCGCGGTCTTGATTTTGTGTACGCTTACATTGACGACATCCTTGTTGCAAGCAAAAACTCTACTGAGCATGAACAGCACCTTACACAATTGTTTGATCGTCTCAAGGAATACGGTATTGTCATCAACCCTTCTAAATGTTTGTTTGGTAAACCTGAGTTAGAATTTCTTGGACACTCTGTTTCAGCGACAGGAATTCAACCGCTTCAATCAAAAGTTACTGCTATTTGTGACTTTCCTCAGCCAACATCATTAACGAAATTACGTGAGTTTCTGGGTCTCATTAATTTTTATCGACGTTTTATTCCTCAATGTTCTCATATTGTCCATCCACTCACTGACATGTTATGTACTAAAGGCATGAAAAAAAAGTCACAAAAACAGCTTAACTGGACTGAGGATGCAACCAAAGCTTTCATTGCCATTAAGGAAGCACTCGCCAAGTCCACATTGCTATCACACCCAAAACCAGAGGCACAAGTATGCATCGTGACCGACGCTTCAGATACCGCAGTAGGAGCAGTATTGCAACAATATCACAACAATGATTGGCAACCACTTGCGTTCTTTTCCAAACGTCTACAACCTGCGGAAACTAGGTACAGTGCTTTTGGAAGGGAACTTCTCGCAATTTACCTTTCAATTCGCCATTTCCGACATTTTGTGGAAGGACGACAATTCCACATTTTGACTGACCACAAACCGCTTACTTATGCTTTGAACAATGCCACAAATCGTCACTCTCCACGCGAAATTCGCCATCTTGATTTTATTGCGCAATTCACCTGTGATATTCAACATATCAAGGGCGTTGACAATTGTGTTGCCGACGCGCTTTCGCGAGTATTTTCTTTATCAACCCACAATTCATTGATCGATTTCTCAGTTATCGCTAAAGCACAATCTATCGACAACGAATTGAAAGAGTTACGGAGTGACGAATCATCTTCATCGCTAATTTGGCAGGATTTGGCAGTGCCAACAGCAGACACCGTTATTACTTGTGACATATCTACTGGTAAGCCTCGACCATTTATTCCATTAGAATTTCGACGAGCAATATTTAATGCCCTTCATTCCTTATCACATCCCGGAATTAAGGCTACTCAGCGTTTGCTGTCTGAACGCTATGTTTGGCCCAACATCAATAAAGATGTACGCAATTGGGCGAAATCGTGCTTAGATTGTCAACGTTCAAAAATCCATCGTCATACTTGTGCACCATTATCAACGTTTAATACACCTAACGCACGCTTTGAACACATCCACATTGATTTAGTCGGACCTTTACCATATTCTAATGGATTTACATATATTCTTACGTGTATTGACCGTTTTACTCGCTGGCCTGAGGCTATCCCGTTACCAGATATTTCGACAGAAACGGTAGTTAAAGCTTTTTACAATCACTGGATTTGTAGATTTGGGACACCATCTATTGTGACTACGGACCGTAGTGCACAGTTCGAGAGTAAATTATTCAGTACATTTTTGAACTTTTGGGAACAAAAAGGATAAGAACAACATCCTATCATCCAATGGCCAACGGCTGTCTCTTATCCACATCGAGATGTGTATAAGAGACAGGTTCCAGCACATGCTGGACCTCGGGATTATTAGACCCTCAGAGACCCCCTTAAAGATAATAAATAAATTGATTAAGCAGTCTGCATTATTTTGGAATGTGGTCACTCCCCTGGCATAAAATAAGGCCACTGTAATTCTCAATTCCTATTGGTCATAGGGAGTGATTGGTAATGCCATATATATCACAACTACCTGAACCTTGGGTACTCCGTTGAATTACACCTTTTGATAAACAGTACTTCTTTATTGTTTCAACTTGTATGTTCTTTGTTTGCCGATCTACACCTCAAGTGTTTTTCTTTTTATCTACCATACGTTTTTCACTTGGAAATAAATTGCACAGTTTTATATGTTATTAGTTTGTTGTTTACTATTGTTACGTTTACAACTACTAAAAGTCTACACCAATTGAAGGTCAATAACAACATTTTAATAAACCTACATAAAAGAGCATCTTTCAACACTGTGTTAAGATTACATTTAACAGGCAGAGGCAATAACTGAAATATTTTCGGGAAAAACGCTATTCTTGGCGGTCTTACTATGTAAACGTATTAAGATAATTCAGTGCATTGATTTAATATACATTTCGCTCATATCAAAACAAAATATAAAAATGGAATAATGCAATGAGAAATCAATGCTGGGATGGAGATCTTGGAATTCAGAAGACAAACTGATGGCCAGAAACAAAACTGTGTGGAGAGAAAACTCC